TACTAAATGTATAAAGAAATTGAATTAACTTTATTAGTTTATTCACTGAGTTATTTAAAAAAGGAATTTCAACAATTCCTAGTCTTCTCATTCAATATAACGGTACGATTCTTCTATCAATAATAAACAATTCTAAAACAGTTTCTAAATTTACAATAGATGTATTAATTTTTATATTTTATTAATAAAAATAAAATATCAACTTACTAACCATGTGTGTGTAATAAATAAACCTTGATTTTTTGCATTTTTACTAAATTATAATTATGTGATTTTGTATAATTATTAATTACAAAATCTAGAGCATCTTTTCCACATTTTGACAATTTACTTTTGTCTTCCTTTATATGTACTTGAGCCTGAAAAGATCGATTAAATGGACCATTTGAAATTTCTCTCAACATAAGTTCTAAATCAAAATATCCTCCACTTTCATATACTCTATATATGTCATTTTTTTTAACTGGCCCTTTTTTATTATTTCTTTCTAAACTAGCCTTACTTATAATTGTATCCCTATATAAATAAAATTTATTATAAAAGAATTAATAATTAATTTATTTAGAAGTTTATCATACCATCTAATACATATATCTGATTCTTTAAAATCTACAATAAAATTTACGATTGGTTGTAAAACATAATATGCCAATGACGATTTATTAAATTTAGTTGAACGCGATTGTAATAAAGGTATTCACTATAATCTTTTTCTTTATAATTAAATAGAAATACATAAGATTTTATTTATAAAAATTTATTAGATTTATAGATATAACTTACATTAAATCAATTAAAATCTGAGTTTTTTGGTACAACAGATAATCTTCATCATTCGGTATTAAAGTGTTACTAGCCCTAACTTGGTTTATAATAAAATTCTTTAGTCTGTTGGGTAATAGCTTGGGCAATAAAGTTTCTTTAACACTATTTCATAGCCTTATTTCTTGTAATGTCTTTTTAATTGGAGAGCTTGAAGTATCCAAAGCTTCAACGTCTAGAATGCCAGAAAGTAGCAAGTCATTCGAGCTTAATTCTACTTTTGAAAATGCATTGCTAATTGTTTTTACAATCTCGCTTACATTCAAAAATTTTAGCTAATTTGATTTAAACAAATGATTAATATTTAGGTATAAATTAAATTGCTAAAATTAATAAAATTTTAATTACATTTGTGATCCTTTTTTTTGCTTCAATTAATTCCAATGGTTCATATAATGTATAGTCTAGAACTT